ATCCCTGAGTTCTTGGGCACTGAGAGGTCCGCTGAGACGCGTTTCATCATCTGAGGCGCATATGGCTGTGTTGTGGGTGAAACATCTCACACAGGCCGCCGCTCGACGGTACTTGAGCCAGCACGAGCTCTTCATGGCGTCTGGTAGCACGGGCTGTCGTTGGATTGTGAGTCCCGCGAAGTTCTCTTCCTTCACTGCTTCTTGTCCTGGTCTGAGTGGGCTTGCGTCTTGCTTTGATAGCCGGTTTTCCTCATCTTGCCACAGAAGACCGCGCCCGCGGAGCTGCTTGCAGTCTGGTGCTAGCTCAGACGCGGTCAGCTCTCCTGAGCAGTCTGCAGGATTCAGCGTTCCTGACCCGTGGCGGCACTGCTCCTTTCTGGTCAGGTCGTGGTTGCGTTTCAGTTTTCGTTCCGTGGCTTCGAGCCGTTTCATTGCGATCCGTCCGTTGTCGGGGAGCTCCCCCCGGTCTTCCTTCCACAGCATGCCTGTTTCATACCTGTCCGGAGGCCCTTTTGTTTTGCCTTTCAGGCTTGACAGCGCACGCTCATCCTCCCTGGACTGTTCTACAGGCTTGTCGTACTTGGTCCCAAAAGCCTCCGTGCACCAGTCCTTCACGGTGGTTGCTAGCTCGTCGTCGCTGCTCTGGGCGTTGCGTTGCAGGAACATAACCTGGCGCAGGCTGCTTGGCTCCACTGCTGATATGGAACCAGCTAGTGCCCATCCAAACCCGGTTCTTATAGCTGCTGGCTGGTTAGAATGACCCTTTCGTACTTCCTGTTGGAGAACAGCTTCCAGCACGTTCCCTCCGAGCAGCAGTTTCACATCCCCGCCATCATACTGCGGGAATTTTAGTTCACGGAGATGTTCGCATTGCTTGAGTTGGCGGTGAGATACCGTTGGGGCAGTCACATTCAGTGATGGTACAGCCCAGGCTTCAGGGATTTCGATGTACCCTCTCTTCACACCATCGCCGAGTGCGCTAACCGTCAGGGTAACGCGTTCAGATGGTTTCTGAGCTCCGCTTCCCTCCACATTTTGGATGCAGAGCTGGCGAAGGTCCCCGGTGATGCCCATCTCCTGCAGGACATCAGCGCTGCACAGTGACGTCTGAGCTCCGGTATCTAGCAGCGCCAGGACGTCTTTTGACTTGGCCGTTCCGTGGACGCGAACCTGAACGACCTGCAGCAGTGTGTCGGTCTCATTGCTGAGGGAGGCTGCAACAAACGGCGAGTTTCCCCTGCCTTTAGGTTGGGGCTGTGGTGCCGCAGCCGTCGATGATCCGCTCGAAGAGTCTTCTTCCCTTGAGCTTCCCTCCTCGTGTCTCGCGTTTCCTGAGCCTTTGTGTAGCATTGGATGATGAGTGAGCTTGCAGCCCTCCACTCCGCACTTCCGTGAGGATCTGCATCTCCTGGTCCAGTGGCCCTTCCTCAGACATGAGAAGCAAAGACCGTTCTCGTACACCATCTCCATTCGCGCTTCCAATGTTTTCCCCTTGAACGACGGGCAGTCAGTCACCCTGTGTTTTTCACTGCACACCAGACAGGGCGGCGGTGAACGTGGCTCCACTTCTCCAGCTTCATGAGTCGCTCCAGTCGCGAGCGCTGTCCTCCGCACCGCTCCTTCACGCTGCGTGCCGGCTACACATTTCCGCTCCGACATCCCAGACTGGACGGCCGAGAAGCTGAGGATGCTGACTTGCACCTGAAGCCATTCGCTGAAGGTCTTCAGAGTGGGTCGTTCTGGCCGTAGCTGAAACACTTCACGACCCCATTCTCGGGCCAGCTCATTCGGCAGTTTCTCCACCACCCTCCTAAGGTTCTCACTACTGGACATATCGCTTGAATAGCCAAGATTCTGTAGGACGGTCACTGTGTTATGAACGATGGCGTAGAACTTTTCCATGGCTGGAAGATCCGTGAGAGCTGGTGGGTTGGAAGTGAAGATTTTCCTCAAGTGACTTTGGATGATGTCTTCTTCTCTCCCAAATCTTTCTTGTAGGGTTCTCAGAGCTTCCAGGTAGAGGCTGCCATTGAACAACATGCCTTCAATAGCTTGGGCTGCCGGCCCTTCTACGGCGTTCTGCAAGTGAGCCATTCGCTCTGAGTCCGATAGAGACGGCTGGTCGTGGACGAGCGCCTTAAATAGGCCGATCCAGCGAGGCCACTCTTGAGGGCTGCCTCGGAAGGTAGGCAGCGTCAGACGTGGTATGCTTTTCACGAATGCTGATGGGCCCGGGACGTCACATCGCCGCTCGGAACCCAACGCTGTCACCCAGCTGGTTGGGTCCTGGTCGGCAGTTCTCGGCGTCTCGTCGGCCATCGGAGAGGTACTAGTAGCTTTCGGTGGCGGCGGCTCGCGCCGGAGCTCTCCCAAACCACTCACCATGCGTTCTTGCTCTTGCTCGTTTCCCTTCTCGCGGCCGCATCCGGTGTTGTTTTGACGACTAGGCGCCACTTCCACAGCGACCTCATCTTCAAAGTCGTGTCTTCGTTCCCACTCCAACTCGTTGCCAGCTGCCTTCCAGAGACGCGCCTTCAAAGCTGCACGTTCCACCTCCTCTTCTAGAGCCCTTTCTTCCAGCAAATCTTCCTGCTTTCTCATCTCTCGTTCTCTTTCTTTCCTTGCTTCTTCCAGCATATCTTCCTGTTTTCTCATCTCTCGTTCTCTTTCTTTCCTTGCTTTGAGATGCTTTAGTTCGAGAGCTTTCAATTCCGCGGTGATTTCAGCCTCCTTGAAAGTGGCTGAAGCCTTTGAGCCTCGTGATATGTGAGACCCGCACACATTGCTTCCTTCCTCAAGTGGCACCGATGGTAGGGGGAGCATTCCTGTGCGTGACGCTGAGCGGCTCGCTGATGGGCGAGTTATCGCCTCTTCAATTCTTGCGACCGTTTCGGCGTGCCGTGCTGTTATTCTTGTGGCGTACTCCTCCGCTTCTTCCAACTCGCTCACATCTTGCAACTTCTCTACGAACTCCTCATTTGCCTCCATGAAGGCGTCCAGCGTTGTGTGCAGCGTCTCGAGCCGCTTCTTCAATTCCTCTTCACTGGCTCGCCGCGCTATTTGCGCGTCAGCCCTGTTACACGAGCGTGTGAACATGGCCGCCTTGCGACCGCGATGAAGCTTTAACCCTATTCCTGGCGGGGGGGGGGGCCTCAGGAGCCCCCCCCCCTGAGGTTTTTTGGTTATATCTCCCAAACGCGTTGAGCTAGGAAGCTCAAATTTTCTGACTTTTCCTAAAAGGCTTCTACGCAACATGTCTGAAAATTTTGAGTTGATCTGACCTCAGGTCAGGTCACCAGAGGCGGTTTGGTGACGCTACCTCAGAAAAGTTTGCAATCACGCCAGAGCTAGAGTTTTTGACCGATCAATTTCTTCTCTTCAGGGTTTAGTTAGGGTACCAGTATGTGCAATTTGTATATCTCGGAATTTTGATATCGGTGACCTAAGGTCAGGTCAATTTCGCGACCTCCCCATTATAAGTCAATGGGGGAAAAATCAACTCCCTGTTTTTACCACTAAAACGGGTCGGAATGGCCCCATATACCATACATGACTTCATATACGATGAACCTTCACTGCCTTGAGGTCTGTTTTGCTGTTGGGCAGCTGTGAGGTCATGTGACGTCATCAAAGGTCACCAAAGGTTTTTGGCCAATAACTCCGTACAGGAACAAGATACAGACGCGTGGATGGTCTCATTGTGTTCAGCTCGTCAAGACGCATCGAATGATATACATGATGACCTCGAGGTCACGTGACCTGAGGTCAACCTTTGACCTTGACCTTTCGAGGTCAACATATATATCATTCGATGCGGATTGACGAGAGGATCACGATGGTGCCCTTAGTTTGTTCCTATCTTGACTAATTCGAAAGCTATTCGAGAAAAACTCTCTCCATATCTAGTGCCGCCATTTTGACTTTTTTGACCCCTGTGACGTCATCTTTGACCTGACCTGAAAATGACCTTTGTAAAAATTGTAGATCTTGGCCGTGCGTATCCGATGCCGTTTACCGCTTGTCGCTATCTTGCTTCGTTCTCGAGATCTCAGGGGGGGGCCGAATCGGCCCCCCCCCCCCCGCCAGTTTCTTGTCCCGGCGGAGCCCGCCAGGAATAGGGTTAATGCTTTCCGTTCAGCGGTGATATCTCCATCCTCTCCTCCTGCAGGGTCGCAGTTCTCTGGCATCGTCTCCCGGTTCTCCGTCTCCGTCTCCTCTTGCCCTGCAGGCTCGCGATTCTCAGGCGTCGTCTCCTGGTGCTCCGTCTCCATCGCGTCTTCCATCGGTCCACGATGCTTCTCAATTCGACTGACACGGTGGGAGCAGAACTTATCGACGTCACGGACGGTTGTTCACGCACAGTATCGACTTATTGTACATTCTCTTCTAGACTTCTTACTTTCTTAGCTGATACCATCCGGCCCGGAGGACCAGCGAATGTTGCGGACGTCTCTGGCTTTCTTGTGTGGACTGTATAATGTTTGTTACGTCACGCAGCATTCGGGTTGGCGGCCGGGGGAAATTGTGAGAGGATGTAGGATTATTAGAGGCAGTGAACGAATAATGAAGAAGGGAAGTATCTAATCAGTAAATAAATAAACACAGATGAATAATTTACGGATCAAAGGTTCAACAGCGCCCGTCTCAGAGCGCATAAGGAGCACACCTCGCGGCATGCATGTTGGGTTGTTCAACAGCGCCCGTCTCAGAGCGCATAAGGAGCACACCCCGCGGCATGCATGTTGGGTCGTTCAACAGCGCACGTCTCAGAGCGCATAAGGTGCACACCTCGCGGCATGCGTGTTGGGTCGTTCGACAGCGCCCGTCTCAGAGCGCATAAGGAGCACACCTCGCGGCATGCATATAATGTAGGATGACAGAGGATTGATAGGAATAGTGAGTAGACCCGGCCACCGTGAGAACTGTGAGCTGCGCGCCGCTCTCCTTTCCTCCACTCGCCACTTCGGTTTCACTCACACCACCACCACTTAAACACAGTCTTCTAAATAGAAGAGTTCGCTATTGACCGAAGACGGCGAGATGGCAGCAGTACAGCACAGACACAGTAGTTAGAAAAGTTAGACGTGAGCGGCAGCAGAGCGCCGCCGTCCGCGTTTGAGAGCGAAGTGAGCTCGTCGGCGACTAACAGTGAAGTGAGACCGAGCTGAGCCCGGTATCGGTTCAAATACGTGGCCAAAATGTCACTCGATACAGGGGTCGTGACACAGAGCACAAAAAAGGCGGCCGGCACGCTGCGTCCCCTCACACACCCTTCTAGTTCCCAGGCCCAGGGCCCCGCCGGCCCCATTCGGAACAGGCCACAGGTCAGCCGGGTCGCAGGGTCACAGGGGGACGCCAGTCCACCGTTCGCGGCGTCGATATGGCCCATTGCTTGTCTCAGAAAAACCATGCGCGGCGACAGGTGGCCGCTGGGCGGGCGGCGGCCCGGCTCGGCGTCGGGACCGGCGGGCGGGGTGAGGGGCGGCGCGGCGGCGGCTCGGCTTGGCATCGGCGGCGCGACATTCGCCTAGTTTGTCGGCAACAGTGTGGTTTCCCAGCGCATCGCCGCTATTCTTGAACACGCGTTCCTGGCACTCCAGTTGCTGTCGGTCTGTTTTTTTTCCCCAGCTTCTGGCTGGGTGGTCCCCTTAGCTGTTACCACGGCTTCTGTCACCCGTCCGCTGCTGCTTTATTTTCTTTGTCTCCATCACTGCTACGCTACTACTATATATTATTGGTCTCTATCTATCACTGCCGCTGCCTGTACTGTGTCTCTGTCACTATTGCAGTCTCTGTCACCGTGCCTCCCGCCATTGCTGTCCATCATCTCTGCTCTGTGTCTGTCAGTGCTGTCATCGCCGCTGTCTCTGTTGCTGTCTCTGTCGCTGCTGCTGTCTGTGTCACTGTCGCTACCTCTGTCTGTATCACTGCCTGAGTCGCCATCGCAGCCTGGGTCGCCGCTGCCGTCAAACGCACTATCTGTTATATCTGTCTCTCCTGCTGTATCTGTCACTGCTGTCGCCGCCACCGTCTCTCATGCTGCTCCATCTCCACCGCAGTCTAGTGTCTCTATTATCTGTTATCTCTCTATTTTAGCCCGTGCATTCGCTGTTGTCTGCTTTGTCTCTATCTCTGCCCGTGCAGCCGCTACTGTCTCTGATATGTCTCTATCTCTGCCCGTGCAGCCGCTGCGTCTCTGATATGTCTATCACAGCCCGTGTAGCCGCTGCTGTCTCTGCTTTGTCTCTATTTCAGCCCGTGCATTTGCTGCTGTTTGTTTTGTCCCTATCTCTGCCCGTGCAGCCGCTGCGTCTCTGATATGTCTATCACAGCCCGTGCATTCGCTGCTGTCTGTTTTGTCTCAATCTCTGCCCGTGCAGCCGCTGCTGTCTGCTTTGTCTCTATCTCTGCCCGTGCATCCGCTGCTGTCTGCTTTGTCTCTATTTCAGCCCGTGCATTCGCTGCTGGCTGCTTTGTCTCAATCTCTGCACGTGCAGCCGCTGCTGTCTGCTTTGTCTCTATCTCTGCCCGTGCAGCCGCTGCGTCTCTGATATGTCTCTGTCGCAGCCCGTGCATTCGCTGCTGGCTGTTTTGTCTCAATCTCTGCCCGTGCAGCCGCTACTGTCTGCTTTGTCTCTATCTCTGCCCGTGCATCCGCTGCTGTTTCTGCTCTGTCTATCACAGCCCGTGCAGCCGCTGTAGCTGTCTGCCATCCGTGCAGCCGCTGCAGCTGTCTGCCATTTCTATCACTGCTGCTGATGCTGCACCGTCGCATCGGAGCGAGTCTGAAACACAGATTGATAAATAAATAAGTTAACGGTCCGATGAACAGTTGATGTGATATTTCTATCGAACTAGTTGACTGTTGCTCAATGTGTTTCGAGCTTTTTACAGTTTCTTTACCATTTACATAATTTCTTCCGTCGAAGACACCAAGAAGCAGCACAAATAGATATACTTTTTGTGAACCGTAGAAGTAAAATGTATGAACACTTTCTTATCGTCGCGAAACAAGTGGTGACATTTCTTGCAGCTAACGACAACAAAATTGATGCAAACAGTTAGTTTTCGAAGTGGTTACAAAAACAAATGATATCGATATTTTAGATAGGTATATGTACCTTATACGCATGTCGTTGCTCGTGCCAAAAAAAAACTTCGTATGATATTTATTTACCATTGTAATTACCTAAAGTTGTTATTCTTTGGCGTTGTATGGCGTGATCTAATTAAAAAAATACAAGACCGTCTTCTAGTGGCAATAGCTGAGGTTGCTGCTTTAGACTGTTTCAAAGCCAGGGTCTTGTTTCAGCGAATTGACACTACCAGTATTGGCTGACGCTACCAGTATTGGCACTCGGTTTCCATTGAAACGATAAGCAGAATTTGCCGAATTTGAATTTGAATTTGCCTGTCCCGTAGCTCAGTTGGTAGAGCATTGGACTCCCGGTAGTGAGAGCCTGGGTTCGAGACGCTCCGGCGCTCGATATTTGAGACTCCTGACGTGGATGGTCTGCGGTTGGTGGGAGCAGCCGCAGCCAGTTGAAATCAGTTGAGTGGGACAGGCCGTGTCCGGCTTTGAAGGGCACGTTAAACTTTGGCATCTAAATTCTCCCGATACCCGGAATTGCGCGATCGGACGGTAGGGGTCGGGGTCTACGCAACAAACTCTGCTTAGCGTGAGCTCCGGCTCTGTCAATCCGTCCATTCAAACATTCGAGCTAAAATTAAAAAGAAATTAAAATAATTAAAAAAAGAATTTCAAATGCTTGCTTACGCTCCCATAGAAACCGAACGCAAATACTTAGTAGAGTCAGGTAGCGTCTTGCGCTGGAACAGGGCCCAGAGGCCACCCAAACTTGAGAGAGAGAGAGAGAGAGAGAGAGAGAGAGAGAGAGAGAGAGAGAGAGAGAGAGAGAGAGAGAGAGAGAGAGAGAGAGAGAAGAGAGAGACAGAGACAGAGACAGAGACAGAGACAGAGACAGAGACAGAGACAGAGACAGAGACAGAGACAGAGGCAGAGGCAGAGGCAGAGGCAGAGGCAGAGGCAGAGGCAGAGGCAGAGGCAGAGGCAGAGGCAGAGAGAGAGAGAGAGAGAGAGAGAGAGAGAGAGAGAGAGAGAGAGAGAGAGAGAGAGAGAGAGAGAGAGAGAGAGAGAGAGAGAGAGAGAGAGAGAGAGAGAGAGAGACGGAAAGTGAGAAAGATTAAAAGGTGGGTGGAAAAAGTCTCACCTGATGTGTCTTCCCCGTATCTTTTGCCACGTAGAACTGTGCTAGATTCCAGTTGTCCGGCCACTTCCTGGCCGCATCCACCGCCCTTCGTAGCCGGCCACCGGACCACAAGTCTTCCAGTTCGCGGCGCCAGATTTTGGCTTTGGCGTCAAGTGTCGTACCGTCCAGATCTGGTCGTATGCGGCCAAGGGTGCCTCTCAGATCCTGGTCAAGGTGCTGTATAACCATCGACAGGCGCTCGTGGTAGGTGCGAGGTGGAAAATAGTTCACCATCCACCCCCTCCCCATTGCATCATCTCTACTCTTCCAGAACTCCACCTTCTGTGGCACTGCCTCGCGGACGGCCTGCAGCAGCAGCTCGGGCTGCAGTAGCAACTCGACGCGGCCCCGCGGCGTGTCGAGATCGGCGGTCAGGCCGCCTGGCCGCTCCCCTGGCGGCCGCTGCAGCTGCTGGCGACACCAGGCAGACACTGCGGCTGGGTCACCCAGGATGACTTCCAGGTCGGATGCGGTGAGGATAGCCATCAGCGGAGCAGCGTCCAACGTCACGACTTCGTCAGACGGCGATGTCGGCTGCTTCGCTCCCGCCAGGTCCTGCCGGTCGAGAACGCTCCATGCCATGAGCATGTAACACTGCTGCCAGTTGGTACCTGAAGTGCGGTGGAAACACCACTGTAGCATGCATGTCTGAGCCGCCCGGATCAATGAAGGGATGACGCTTTTCACCCAGCTCTCCCAGCAGGGCGCCGTAGGCCGATGGAGGGTACCGTTGACGACCGCATCACGGAGCAGTATCCGTGCCAGCCGGCGACGCAGCTGGCGCTCCGAGGGCGGCTTCGCATCGTCCTCGGTCAGGACGCTGAAGTCCCTCTTCTCGTTCATGCACAGCTCTAGCATCAGTCTGGTGGCGTGTGTTCTCATAAGCTTTACGGCGTTGATGGCGTTTTGCCGCTGTTCCGGGGTGAGTTCCGCTGCCACGTCGATTGCAGCATAGAAGAAGCATGGCATAGTGGTGCCGGGGGCAAGGTGCTCTTCAAGCCAGTCGAGGACTCTGTGGACACCATCAGTGATGTTTGTCCACGATTTCATGGGTGTGTCTTGAGCCAGCCAGAGCATAGAAGTTTTAATAAAATACGATTTCAAGCCTTCTGTAAGGTCCTTGCCCCATTTCTCCTTCACAATTTGCTTCATTCCTTTCATAGTCTTGATGACCGTCCGCTGCACCGGATGGAGGAAGCGGGCGGCGACTATCTCTGCCCGCGATAAGGAAATCCGATACTCCTTTCGCTCTGTGGGGCTGCCCTTTCTGCCGGTTGGTACAAGATGTACGCCGAACTCCCGGATGTTGTCGCGCACCGCCGATGGAGGGAAGTCAGTCCGTCTTTGGCGGTTGCCTTCCAGCCAGTCGTCCGCCGGCCACCACCCGCGCGCACGTAGGCAGGCTACGTAGTCAATGCCTTCACTCGATGGATCACATGGCTGCTGAACATTGACCGCTGGGCCGGCGATTGTTATCTCACCGTTCGTCATGACTTGGCAGATGTTGAGCATGAGTGAACGGAGGGAGTTGGTCGGAAAGGCATCCAGCGCCGTCATGTGGCGACACTCGGTTGTCGGCACCCAGTACAAGGTCACAAAGCCGATATTGTCGGTCGGTTTCGCCCACAGCTGTGGTGCAGACTGCGGGCTGATGATGGCTGGCTCCGCCCCTGCTCCTGCCCAGTTGAAGGGGCAGCCGAACTCAAACATGACATCGAAGTCCGATGTCCCCCCTCTCCCGACTTTGACGTCCGACAGGCCCTCGGCGCCACTGCCCGATCTGTTGACCGAGACGATGTTGACTGGCAGCTCTGGCTGACAGTGCTGACACCGCTCGCTGGAGATGATCGTCGGGTCCTGCAGGGACGCCAACAGCGGCTCCCACAACAGACAAGTGAGCGCGTCATGCGCCTCATTCTTGACGTTGTTCCCCATCCAGCCACGCCCGGTATTATCGACTACTTCGCCCGCCAGGAGTAAGGTGTCAGGGACTAAGTGCAGTTTCGAACCCCATTTCTTTTCCAATTCCTTCACCGATGGTTGTAACGTACCCAACAGTCTTTTTTCACGCTCCTTCTTCCTGGCCCCAAATAGCTCCGCACGCGACATGTCTGACCAACGGGACCGTCTCACGCGGACTGACCCAATCAGCTAGCACTCGTGCAAGTGTATCGGTCCCGGTCGAGATAAGGACGGCCATCCGCCGCCTGTCGCCGACAGGAGGAGCGATAGGGGCACGACGCTGCTGTCAGGCCGCTCCGGCTGAAACAGATAAACCATGTCTTACTCTCTGCAGTGTTTGTAATTGTATAAAATCTGATCATCGTCGATGAAGATGGAAACATGGTCGAACGACTATGCTAAATGGTCACATCCATTTTACCTGCAATCAGACTACATTTATTAAGGAAGCTCTATCATATCTCATATGTAGTAGTTAGCGTCATATTTGAGGATCTCATATATACAAGACCAGGACGACCTCCGCATGATCTCCGAGGATTATGGATACGAGCAGGCCTGAGTGCTTCTCAGTGTACAGTCTGTCTTAAAAGTACCGCGCAAAGTGACGCGGTGGATCCATCAAGCCTGACCGAGGAAGGGCCTTCTTTAATTTGAAAGTCATCGAACCAATTGACCTGGGGAATGGACGAGAATGTCAATTGCTTCGATGACTCAAATTTAGCAGGCTTTTCCTCGGTCAGGTTTGATGGGTCCACCGTTACTTTGCGCGGTACTTTTAAGACTGACTGTACATACCTAGATGGACCCTTGGTGCCCTGATTGCTGAGGCGCTATGTGCGCAGTGGATGATATTTCCTGCCCCTCTTGAAGTGGCGCCATGAGACCGCACATCGAGGCTTCATGGCCACCACCCTGCAATGTGTAGCTCGATTTTGACTCTTTGCGATTGACCCATGATAACAAAGAGTTCCTGTTTAACGGGGCGCTGTTTTCCTGCGGCCGATGTCGGATGTTGAATCTGCTAATGTGTCGTGATGATAACAGAGGCTCCGCTCCGCAGTACTGTTAAGTGTTTACTGCAGCGGCTGTATGTTTTCAGCGACTAATGTTCCGTGATCGATAAGACTTCCGTGAGGCATAAGTCCCCCTTACAGCACGTGAATTTCTATCAGCTTCAAAAACATACGGAAAAACTAAGTAGCTGAAGGCAAGTTCAATGTTTTGTGGTTAGGTTATTCCAGGGGGCGTCGAAGTCTAGTTCCTACCAACCTGGCACTCCCATGCCTACGTCACCACGAGGACGCCCGAGGGCATTTACATGTTGAAGATAGGGAAATTGCCATATTTTTAGGTGTTGTTTTTATCCGCTGGGACTGAGAGCGTGAGATGATGTTTTTCGTACTGACTGCCATAGTTTGCCATTGCCATAGTTTAGATCCGCCTGGAGGGCAAACTTGAGATAGATGATAATGTAAATATGTGCTAATATGAGCATCAGCATTTGATTTATCCAAATCCAGGGCCAATTAATCGATAGCTTGTCACGTTTTCCAGTGGTGATGCGCTAACTTTCGTGGTTCTTGCAGCCAATAAGGGTGTTTCATAGTGCGATTCAGCCGCATTATCGACTTTAATGCCATAAACCGCCACGGAACACATGATTTGCAGCTCCCTGGCGTGATAGATGCCAGTAGGGCTCCGGAGTCGGAGTCATGAAGTTGGTCGGAGTTGACAGTTCTGACCTGAGTCGTCGAGTCGGAGTCAGAGTCGATTTTAAAAGCTGGAGTCTGAGTCAGTCATCGAAATTCGACCCCCTCCGCAGACCTTTCAGGGTTCCGTAGTCGGAGTTGTAGTCGGTCGGAGTCGACAGTTCTGACCAGAGTCAGAGTCAGAGTCGATTTTGAAAGCCAGAGTTGGAGTCGGTGTCACCAAAAATCCATTGCCTCCGCAGACCTGCTTAGGGCTGTGGAGCCGGAGTCGGTCAGAGCCGACATTTGAAATCAAAGTCAGAGTTGATTTTTGAAAGTCTTAGTCAGAGTCATCAAGAAACCCATGGACGATCCGCAGTACCATGCAGTAAGGGCGCTGCCGATCGCTGCCCTGAATTGGCAATTGCCTATGATTTATGCATTGAATGAATAGATGGCAATTAATTAGGTACCTTCTATTATTCATCCCTTGCCACTTGGAGGACTTACTTTCAGTTCAGTAGAAAAAGACGCATTATTTGTTTGTTTATTTATTGACAAATATTTTTGAGCAGTTAGGGATACAGACACAAAACACAATGATAGCACCTCGCTGGTGCAAATCATTGCTAGATAGATGTTGAAATGTGTTGCCATTGAAGAATCTACTGATTTTCCTGGCGGCTCTCGTTTTCAAGCAACTACTGGTCTTGTACGATCTCTTGATTGCTCACCGTATGGCGTCTAGTTCCAAGGTTTTCTTAAAGCTAATCAAACGTTGCCATGGCTGCTCTTGACGGCATGGCGCTTGCTGGTTCTGGGTTCTTAATTGGTGGTTCTTGCTTGGTTCTTGCGTCTGATGCTGTTGCTTCATGTTCCATCACATCACATTAAATTTCTAATGGAACAGACACTTCTACTTTTTATTTCACTATCAGTCGACTTCCATTTACCCCTGTGGCCTGCTGGCCCTTTTATTTCCACGATAGAATCTACCAATTATTGAAAAAAGTCTCGGATAAAAAAGCAAGAAAAGTATGTCAAGTTAAATAATTGCGACGGTCCTAGAAAACCAGAAAAAAAAAATATATCAAAAAGCCTGTCCATCTCACTTCCCTCACTTCATAACAAACACCACGCAGCAAAACATGCGAAAGAGTCCTTAGCAACGCCTTAGCAACGCATTTGTCTGAAGTGCGCAATATGTGTCACATCTGGAAAAGTTAGTAGCTACTTGATTAATCAACTAGAGTTGGACTATATAAGCTAGGCTTTTATATAAAAAAATAAGTGTTTGCTTATCGAATTTATAGAAACTGGTTACTTGACTTCGAAATAATGATTTATTACAGAAAAAGCTTGTTTGCGACATATTTGTAAAGAAACAACGGAAATAGCTTTGACTCGTACGCTATTCTAGTACATTTTTGGTAGAAAACTTCGTCCAACCTTATGTTTTAGGGCCTTGGGTTATTCAACCCTCACACTTTCTGGGGGTCGAACGAGGGGGTCGAACGTGACTTCCTCGGTTTTTCGCAAGTAACTCGATTAGAAGCGGCTGATTGCGACGAAACTTTCAATGCCCTCGATTAGATCAATTTTACACACACCCTGAAAATTTCATGACCCTGACCCAAATGATCTTTGACCTGTGACCTGTTTCTCGAGACCATGTTTGACCGAAATCGCGATTCGGCGTATGTCGCATCGCATTATCCGCGCGTTTGCAATTTTTTTGTGTGGTTTTAAACGTTAAAGGTAGTGTGCCACCTTCCAATGATTTCCCATTTTATTTTTCCTAGGATAAGAAGCTTCTGTTTTTGCCTAATATCGCAAAAAAATCAAAAATGGGCCTAAAATTGTGCTTTTTTCGCCTAAAAGTTTATCGGTTTTTCGATATGTATAACAACTGTAGTGGGCTGACCTGCAAACAGGCGTCGGCAACAATCGCGAATGCGGCGCACATGTGACAATAAGCAAAGGTCATTATAGAGTTACGACGTACGGGAATGAGTTATCAGCTGCCTAATCGTGGACAACACAATGTCGAATTTAAACTGTAAGCCTGTATTGGAATTGTTTCTTTAATTTGGCTGTCGAACATTAATTTATGATTTGAAATATTATTTTATGTAAAATAATTCATATGAAACAGCCGTCTCTAAAGTTATGACCCCATCTCACCACATGAAAGTGGCAGAAATGACAATGATCAGCTGACGCATTTTTCTTGGCCGAAGTCAGAGCGCGCGGCCCGACGCACCACCACCGCACCACAAAGTATGAGCAGAAGCCACCTGCGGTAGGCCGCGCCCAAAGCCAGGGCCCCGGTAACGTGAGGTAGCCGAGTCGGGGCAGCGTGCGCTGACCCAAGCCGGGGCCGCGGCTTTGGGCGCGGTCTACCGCATCCCCGGGCAGCCCCGGGCTATCACATGACACCGGGAGGACGCGCGGCCCCGGCTTGGGTCAGCGCACGCTGCCCCGACTCGGCTACCTCACGTTACCGGGGCCCTGGCTTTGGGCACGGTCTACCGCACCACCTAACAGGCGTGTTCGAAACCGCAGGAGATGATGATGAACGGGTTTATCGAAACTTGATTGGATGAGCCTATCGGTAATAGCGATTTCAGTGTGTGCATTTATTGTTCATAGTGGTGTGAAATGTGGTTGGAGTACGACCGACAACCCGTCGGGGCGAATTTCGCACTGGGGTACTCAAAATTTGAAGAATTTAAGACGTTTCCATGAGTTTTGAAGGTATGGATAAGTTCTAAAAATCCGGTTCTCCTTATCTGGGCTATTAACTCCATACGGTCCAGGAAAGCTGGCACACTACCTTTAACGGATGTGAAACGATGTTGGTCCCATGGATTGCGGTGGGTGTCAAGGTCACGTGAAGGTCAAGACAGGTCATTGACCTTTAACCCGCGACCTGGTGGGGGGGGGCTATCTTTTGCCCCCCCCCCTCCAGACTTTTCGATATATCTCCAGAACTGCTGCGCCGATCGTCACCAAACTTTCAGTACCCTCCCGGACATCAATTTTACACATTGTGACCAAAAATTTTTCCAAAGGCTATGATAGGTTGGCCGGAAATGACGTCAGAGTGACGTCATGTTCTGCCGTTTTCGACCCAAAAAAGGGTTTCGCGGGAAGAGCTGTCAGGCCTATAGCTTTGCAAATACAGAAAAATGATAAGACATAAAAGGTGTAGAATCGACAGTGCTACAAAACTGCTATCTCGGATTTTTGAAATTTTTAGATTTTGACCCCCAAAAGTAAAAGAAATAAATTGTTTGGATATAATAATCGAAAAATCCAAAAAGTTTTTTGAATTTCGCAAAAACAGGAATATATATGATAGTCATTACCGCCTTCCATCCACATACCAAATTTGAGATTGATACCTCTTTTTTTTGGCGAAGATGTAGCGAAAAAACTGTTCAAAATTGATGACGTCAAATTTTCTAACTCAATTTTTAGCAATTCTAGACCCTGTAGCGCAAAACAAAGACCACCATTAGACTCCCCGTGACGAGCTGCATCGAATCAATACCCATTTTATGCAAAACTATCAACTTTAAAATTTGACCTTTTTTGGCCTGACCTTGACCTGACCTTGACCTGAACTTCACCAGAAGGTGACCTCAGCCGTACCTGATAGTCTTATAACCAACACCATTGAGTTGGAAATGAAAAATTGGCCATAAAACATGCATCACACAACCTTAGTAAAGTTGGGGTCATGTGACCTGACCTGTGACCCTTGGTGACCTGACCTGTGACCTGACCTGGTATTGTTAGTGACCTCTAATAGCAACATATCTACTAGGTAACTGACGCCCTATCGCTGATTCTCGACAAAATGCGTTTTCCTCGGTGTTATAGCGCATTCCTTAGAAGACCCGTGAACGGTGAAATATTTCATCTTTGACCTGACCTGTGACGTCATCGGTGACCCCGAGGTCAATGAAATTTGGTTTCCTTCGACAAATTTGACAGGCCTTTCGAACGCCGTTTGAATTTTGCGGATCCGTCCAGTAGTTTCGGAGATACGAGGGCGGGCAAAAAATAGCCCCCCCACCAGGTCGCGTTATTAACAGACCCCACCAGGGCGCGGGTTAATGACCTTGGTTTACTTTTTCGAGATTTACATGTTTTTAGGGTAGTTTTTTAGCTAATTTCGAATTAAGCAACCATTTGAACATTTACGAAGTAGTTTGGTGCCTTTGTAACATGTTATGAAGCCATTAGCGTCGCCACGGGGGGGCAAGCGGAGCAGCCTGCCCCCCCCCCCAACCTCGGACCGGGCACCCCCTGAGTCCTGAGATCGATACAGATCCGATGAGATTTTGGAGTCGGGGAAAAATGGGGGTACCTTTCTGAGAATGCCTGTGAGGTCAGACTCTGTTGGAGCGTGCAGTTCAAACCAAAGTCAGAGTTGCAGTCACCAAAATCTTCAAGACTCCGACTCCAGACTCGGAAATGTCAATGCCATGATTCATGTCATGTTCCTAGTTGGTTCTGTATTACATTTTGTAGCTGATTTTCATAAATTTTGGAGTGCTGACACATAATTTTCGTTCAAAGCGTGACACGAAATCTTCGGGGCCTTTCTCAACTCTCGTCAAATGTCTGCGACAGGCACAAGTACCGTTCAAGTGCCGCAGGGCTCATGAGCCTGCTTTTCACACAGGCTCCTAAGGAGCTCCACTGAGCTCTAAGAAGCTTTCGGAGGGCCCAAACCGGCCTCTGAGAGTCCCACTGGTGTCCATGTTCTCTAGAGGGCCCATACAGGGATCTTTGGGGACATTATACATACGTAGACCTCTGAAGGGCCACACGAATCTTTGAGGATGTCTTCGAAAATTTCTGAAAACCTCAACTGGCCTATGAAAGTTCAGCCGAACTTTTGAGGCGACAGACTTTACTAAACCCCAACCCGGCATCTGAGGGGTCACAACTCACGTGTCCCTCTGAGGGCCGCAACACATGTTTGTGTTGCGGCCCTCACCTGTGTCCGGTGACCTTAGTCCGGTGCTAGAGTGATTTTGTTGATTTCTGTAGTAATTCTTTAAGTTTTCTCGTCTTCTTTCTGCTGATAAATTTGTCTGTGCCTCCGTCTTCATTTTGGTACAACTGTGCCATTGTTCCTTGGTGACAATCCCTGCGCTCTTGCGCTGGGATTGGTAATTATATGGTAATTATACGTGTCCTGGTAATTATATCAGGCATTGTTTGGTAAATTTGTTATAGCTTATTTTAGTTACACCCAATCCCTAAATCAGCTGATAGGGTTTCCTTCCAGTACCTTTCATCACCTTTCACTCAACCTTCTTTGCATAATACTATATGCAAGCGCAACCACATGAAACCCTTCCACCTCTCCTTAATAACAAAATATTTAACCCGTTTCAAAGTGTTGGCCCTACGAACCTTTCCTTTTTACATGAGCAATACGAACACCTGAAACGTAACTGCAAATATTATACTCCTTTTCAACCGGAACTGTTTTCCCATGAGCATAGTGATGGGCTTTCTATTATGCACATCAATGTTAGATCCATTCTCACCAATGAAAAGTTTGATGATTTTCAAACTTTCATGTTCTCAACCGGCAAACACTGGAGTGTTATTTGCTTAACAGAAACCTGGCTAGATCCTTTCACAGAGCAGTACAGGCATCTCCCAGGCTATACTTCAATTTTTAGTAGTCGTCCTAATAAAACAGGTGGAGGTGTTGCGATGTATATATGCAATAAGTGCATAAGCTCAACATCGCCTCTAAAAATCAATAAGATTGATGAGACAGAATCTTTATTTGTTGAAAGTACTGTACAATCCAAACAAATTGTACTTGGTGTTGTCTACAGGCCCCCACGTCTATGTTCTTCCCAGTTTATTGACCAAATGACTGAGGTACTTGAACACACAAGTATATGTCATAAGGATGTTATTATCACCGGTGACTTTAACTATGACCTTTTCCAAGTTGCAACAGATAGCTCTGTTGAAAACTTTCTGCACATGTTTACCACGAATGGTTTCTTTCCATGTATTTTTAGACCTACACGACTTGGTGTCGACAGTGCATCACTGCTTGACAATATATTCTCTAATAACCTTTCAATCTTGAATGACCCAGGTCTTATTTTGAGTGACTTATCAGACCATTTCCCAGTGTTTGTCGATCTTACTCTCAGAACAGACAATTCTCATAAACATATGAGGCAAACCATCACTTCTTTTAACTATAACATGATTCCTCACTTGCAAACTCGTTTGCAGTTGAAACTAAGAGACTTCTGTAATGAAACTGATGCGGAACACGCATGTACAACATTTATAGAAGCCTACACTTCCGAGATATCTAGGTGCAGCCACACCTATACTCCCACTCGGAAAAAGACACCTATTAAACCATGGATTACCCCTGGCTTATTGATTTCCATTAACAGAAAAAACGAGCTTTTTCGTATAAAGAATAGACACCCGTCTCCCTTCAATATCAACAACTACAAACGTTATAAGAATTTGTTCACTCATATACTGAGGAAAGCCAAACAAACTTACTATCAGAATGCACTAAAAGATTGTGGCCCGAGGGAAACCTGGCGGCTACTGAACGAGATAACGAAAGGAAACATAATTAAACAAGAAAGTCCACCTTCTTTTAAGATTGGTGATGATGTTGAAAATGACCCAAAAATAATCGCCGAATCTTTTAACTCATACTTTGCTAGTGTTGGCAATGACTTAAAAGAGCGGATACCTCCTTGTCCCACCGACCCTATTGAAAATCTTCCTAGAGGACTAGGAAACTCACTATCATCATTCACCGAAACTAATGACATTGAAGTTACTGAGATAGTAAATAGCACCAAAAAAGTTGGTGGTGGAATAGACGGCATTAATGCACGTATTTTTAAAGCAACTTACCAGACTGTCCTAAGAGAGCTTGTCTTTCTCTTGAATTTATGCTTACGCCAAAACGTGTTTCCTCGCCCTTTGAAAACGGCGGTTATAAAACCAATTTTTAAAGCAGGGGATAAGCAACGTTTTACAAACTATAGACCAATAAGCATACTGCCTTTTATATCGAAAATACTAGAAAAACTAGTACATACCCGACTTGAGCATTTCTTTGAACATAACAAAATCATCACCGAATTTCAGTTTGGTTTTAGAAAAAGCATGAGCACTTACATGCCCCTTCTTTTGGTTCAAGAAAAGGTAAACCAAGCATTTGAAGCAGGCAAAGTTGTCTGCGGCTTATACCTTGACCTCCGAAAAGCATTTGACACTGTGAACCAAACCATTTTACTTAAGAAACTGTATGCTTACGGTATACGTGACAATGCACTTATGATGCTGAAATCATATTTAGAAGGCCGCACACAATGTGTTGAGGTAGAGCATGTTCGCTCCAGCCTTGCTTCGGTTGATATCGGTGTTCCCCAGGGCTCCATCCTTGGGCCTTTTCTGTTTTTAATTTACATCAATGACTTTCCTTCCATTTCTGATGATATAACTGCATATCTGTATGCAGATGACACTGCCATTTTCATTGAAGGCAATGATGAAGCCCATTTGCAAAGAGTCATCGACGCCACAATGCCCAAGATAGCTGTTTGGTTTCAAGCAAACCAATTATCTTTAAATACAGACAAAACTTTTTGTCAGCTCTACAATAATTCTAAACGCGCTGTCAATGTGTCTGTTTTGCTCTCTGGTGCACATATTAAATTTGTTAAAACAGTTAAGTACTTGGGCATGTACGTAGATGACGATCTGAAATGGAAATCACACATTTCACACCTTTCTACAACGCTGACTCGTAACGTTGGACTCATAAGCAGAGCTAGGTATATATTGGTACCTAAACAGCTGCTTCTTTTATATAACGCACTTTTCCTTCCGTATATCAACTACTGCTGTATGCTTTACAGCAACACTTATATTACAAACGTAGATAAGCTCGAGAAATTACAAAAGCGTGTGGTCAGAATGATTGATGGCGAACATAGACTCGCACACACAGCACCAATTTTTAAGAAACTGAAAATACTTAAGTTGAGAGACATTGGTAAGCAGCAGATGCTTCTGCTAATGCATAGAAAGTTGAAAGGAACTTTGCCTTCATCTATTGACAGACTTTTTACGATACTCGAACCGCTTCGAGATACTCGCTCGACCCATCATTTCCACGAGTTCTTCTCAGAAAAAAATTATCGCAGCTACACTACTAGGTGGTCTGCACCTAGAATTTGGAACTCAATAATTGGTCCTAAGTTCACAGATATGGAAGCAGTTCCACTAACAAAGAGAGAAATCAAGGATTTCTCAAAGCAGTATTTTATCGATCAATACTGATACCATTGCCAACACTGACATTTATGTTCTTGTGTTCCACCTGCGTTCGTAAACATACGAATACCTGCCAATGAAATGATCCCCCATTTTATTTATTGTGGGTATGTACGTACATTTACCTGATAATGTATTTTTTACCCGCTCTCTCACAGGTACATACTTGCACAGTACATAGTTATATGTACACAATTACAGAATTTGTCTTTAATGCATATCACTTATGCATACCTAATTTTGGAGAATTGTACATCTCTGTAACTGGGTAGGTATGTTCTAACTGGGTACCTAGATCGCCACAAGAGGTGGTGGTATTTAGTGGTCCTTATGTCTTTTCCCTGTTTGTCTTTTACTTCTTCTCGAACTTTTATCCCACATTTTTGTTTTGCCCTTTTCTTTTTGTTAAGCTTTGCTTTTTCTCCCTATAAACATCATACAGTACGTACAGTACTAACTGTATGTCTTTGAATCATCGCCATCGCTCAATGACCTAGCTTTCTGTCTATTTACATTACTTGCTATTTGTATACCGGTCGTCTCGTCTTGTTTTGTGTACTTACAAGTCACACTTAAGTACTCCTGGATACGTAACAATACGTAAATCAGCCCTACGATACTTCCCACCGAACTGGGTTTACCGAGCAACAAGCTTGCTTAGCTCGGTATCCCTTTTCGGTGAGGATCTGACTCCTCCGGGTGTGACTAGGCTCTGTCCCTCTTCTATGATGCAAGCTTTGCATGCGCTTATTACCACTAACCCCTGGATCACTCTCTCCTTCTCACTATCTTCTTTGGGAATGGTGTAGCGGCCAGTCAAGCTACATTTAGTCTTGACTTCTTTGCCTCTTCTTATGACATTTTACTAACTTACTAAGTATTGTATTTAGCTTTGTTTTGTTTGCTTTCCTTTTTCTTAGCAGGGAGTGTCGCGACTTTCTTCATATTTTTGTCTTGGGAGGTGTTAACGTAAGGTGCTGTTGTCGCGTGGGTCAGTGGGTGGACACTCCTGGTCGTCTGATCATGGGCGGCGGCTTAGGAAAAAAAAAATGTTTCTTATGTCCCTACCAACGTAGGGTCCTTAAGGATTCGACACAGACCCCGGTGGTTCACACTGTTATTCGAGGGCTCCAGGCTCACCCTGGGCCTAGTCTCTTAGCGCCCGCCGCCCACACTGGCTTCTGAAAGCTCGTGTGCCCTAAAGGGCTTTCCGGGCCCACCTTAGGCTCGGAAAGCCCTAAAGCACCACATACACGTAAATATTTGGGGTGACCCACGCCGATCTCCGGGATCCTAAGCAGGCTTCTGAGAGTCCACACTGACCCTCAGTGGCCTGAAATGGCCTGGAAGTCGCAATCCTATCTCTAAGGGATCCCTTGCCGCTATGCCGTGCGTAACTTTTGGTTCCGTTAAATATTTTTGGTCGCGTTTGCAGCGCTTCCCTTCACTCGAAAAACCAGAAACTTTTTGTTCACACTCGAGTGAACAAAACACTTCTTCTCACTGCAGCAAGAATGAATGATGTACTTCCGATTCACACTTCCGACATTCTCGCTCAGTCTCCGCCGAATACCCAATTCTTAGCTACAATCGGCGGCTGGGATAAGCCCTATGCATTTCACGTAAAACCTGGGCATGCATGCGTGAATGGAGGTTTTAGCGAGGTGATCCGATTCAAATGGAGCGTTTTTCACCTTCTTCTGGGTAATGATCATGAGCGACAAGAGTCTGCACAGGGGCCCTCTGCAGTGCGTCGGCAATCGCAGCCACTGTAATTCTAACGGTCTTTTTTTGTCCAGAAATTTCAAAATTATGATTTTTTTTGTAAAAAAATACATGCTATAGCTAGAAGGAAAACTTTGTCACCATCGGATTCCTCGCACCATTGCGCGTCGAATGATATGTAAAACGAGTGAGTAACGGCTGGGGAAAGGCAAGATTTAACACAAAACTTGATTTTGCCCCCCCAACCGAAAATGTCTGGCGACGCCTATGTATGAAGCTATCAGTGGTGGTTGACAGGTCTGGCAGGACCCTTACTGGTTGACCTGACCCGACCTAACCTGGTCTAAATGCATGAAGACATCATCTGTGATCAAAACAAACATGAAACTCGTGATCAGCACCACGAAAAGCCCTTATCAACCTCACTTTACGATGTTCTAACAAGTCCCGATTTTCCCGACTTATGGGTCATTGATCTGACCTGGCAGGTCAAACAATGACCTAGGACCTTAAAATTGGGTAGCATCGGATTCCTCATGTCACGGGAAATACGCTCGTTCTATCCGCAAGGCTCTAGTCGATCAGGGGCCAAACGGCAAGGGGGTCTAACGGACCCCCTTCCCCTCCCTATACCTATGTTCGCGGCTGGATCACCAATATGGGCGAGGGTTAAAACCCTGGCTATCAAGCCTGACTATTGCATGAAAAAAAACAGTGCAAACAATTTGTAGGTATATCACAAAATTTTCAACATATGACCTAAGGTAAAATCAATTTTTGCGACCTCATCATTTAAAGTCAATAGGAGAAAATTGATCTGCTGTTCAATTGGACGAAAACGCTCAAACGTCGTGCTCGTGATACAAGCAAACATGACACACTGAATTCGGAAACAGTGCACCCATGACCCCTCTTTATGCCCCTGAGGTCATCTCAGGTCATCAAACGTCTCCAGCAGTTTTTTTTACAATATCTTTAGAAAGAAACATGCTAGAGCGATGAAAACACCTTTCATACGATCAGCTCAACAATATAAATCAACTGATATGCAGCGTTACTTTTTCCGTGACATTGACCCGTTCCAAATTCTAATATTGAACTTTTCGGATCGACCCACAGTTCATTTAACTCGTCTGGACGGAAGGAATGCGATAGCGGTAAAATCAACGCAATAAATATTGGTGTCAAATGTTATTGCAGACAAACGTGTTCCGCAAAAATGCCAAATTTTTCGCTTTCGCCGTCTGGAGGCTAACCCGCGCCCCACGGGGGGGGGGGCTATTTATAGCCCCCCCCCCTCCCGTTTTTCTGCAATAACTTCCAAACCGCTTGACGTATCGACGCCAAACTTTCAGTACCTTCGGCTGCATCAATTTGACACCTGGTGTCAAAATTTGAACTTCGTACCTACCATAGGTCGGCCGAAAATGACGTCAGAATGACGTCATGTTCGGCCGATTTCGACGCAAAACATTGAACCACGGCAATCGCTCCCAAGAGCTCAGTTTTTAAGCGAGATCCAATTTCTTTGCATGAGAGGACTCAGAATAGACTGCGCTATCAAACTGCTATCTCGGATTTTCAAAATTTTGAAAATTTCGAAAATTTAACATAATAAAATTCAAAATTTATATTTTTACATTTTTTTTCAAAAAGTTTTTTGACTTTTCGAAAAAACCGGAATGTATGTGATAGAACGCATTATTATGACTAACTCTAGCAAGTTTTAGCTAAATATTTTCAAAAATGGCCAAGTTATACGAATTATTGCAAAACATTAACAATTATTAATTTTTCAAATCAATTTTTCAGCACGAATTTGACATCGTACGCCAATATAAATAGCACCATCGTGTTTCTGAGCTCAAACTGCATCCAATAGACACCTTTTTTGTTGAAAAAATTTACCTTCAAAATTTGACCTTTTTTGACCCACAAGTGACCTGACCTAAGCTAAATTTGACTCAAAATGACCTCGAATGACACAGACGACATCAAATTCGAAATGTTTGGCCTAAATGGACCATAAAACATGTGTCACGTGACCGACGGATGATACAATATTTTCGTGACCTGTGATGACCTGACCTTGACCTGAAAATCAAAGTACAAGTTTGGTACCCTCAGAGTATCTAGAGCATCTGTTCACGAGTGTGTGAACCAAAATGAGCCTGATCTGACTTGTAAGACGGCGGCCAGAGCCCAAAACGTGACGAAGCCAAAATGCTAATAATTTTTACTTTGACCTGACCTGTGACGTCATCGGTGACCTTGAGGTCAATGAAATTAGGTTGCGCTCGACATTTTTTCCGGGGCTATCAGACGCCGTTTGAATTTTGACGATCGGCCCAGTAGTTTCGGAGTTAGGAGGGGGGGGGCTATGAATAGCCCCCCCCCCCCCAGTAGGGCGTGTTATACGCAGACCCCAGTGGGGCGCGGGCTAAGCTGTTGGCTCTAGGTCAAATCTGAGAGCATTGTATAGACAAGATTTGAAGGAGCTATCGAATGCGCTTTTCGTGGCGCTCTAGCTCTATATTGGTTTGCTATTTTTGTGCCGCTTTGTTTTAAAGAAAAAAATCAAAATCGGGAAAATCGTGATAATTTTACCCTAGGTGAGCTTCCGTGACTTTGAAAAAAATGACTTGAGTATTTTTGGAAGATCCTACATCGAGCTACGCAAAGCGCATCATCCTCGCTGTTTCAGAAAATCTTAGA